CGCACGTGTGCCTTCCAGCCACCGGCGCGCAGAGGGCATTTGTTTCTGCAAGAGCCTCGGGGCAGGGAACGTGCTCGGGAGGCTGCTCCCCACCAGCCAGACGGCTGCCACGTGGGGCGAGCCCCCCACGTCGGGAGGGCTGCGAGCCACCCCGGCAGCCTGCGGAAACCTGGCGGCGAGGGCAGGGCGGCCCTGCAGAGCCCGGACATGCGGCCAGAAGCCACAGAGGCACATCAGGAAGCAGAGGAAGGAGGGAGGGAGAAGCAGGCGAGAGCTGGGACCCGGCATGGTCTGGGGGGCTGGCACAGAGAGATTGGGGGTGAAGCTTGTAAAACAAAAACTTCATCCTCACTGCCCTTCGGCCACGTCTTTGTCTGGGAGCTCTCCAAGCCGGGGTGTTGCAGAGCTGCTGGGTAAAAGCTGCAAGGCAGTACAGAAGGAGGGTGATGAGGGATAGCTTTAAGCGAGCTCTCTGCTTGGTTTTGGGGTTCATCACACCCGCCCCCTCTCCAGCCATCCATAGAGGCTTCCTGAGGCACAGGCACGACTTACGGCAATGAAAAACACCCACTGATGGGATTCGGGGCTGGCTGTGAAGCAGGAACGTAACCCCGGGTGCATCAGGCTCTCACCTTCATGCTGTGATGGGGGAGATGGGGAACAGGGCCAGCTCCTTCCCCCCTCCCACAGCAAGCACCGGGCTCCCTCACCCTCACTGCCCATCGCCAGCACCCCGCCGGGGTGTTACCTACCCCGGCCGCCGCGGGGGCCCTCGGCTGCCCCAGCACCCAGCAAAGCCGACTGGGGCTCCCGCTGGCGCGCTGCCCCAGATCTGCCCTGCCCAATAACGCTCAGAAGCAGAGCCGTCCTAATGCAGTTAATGAGCTGATTCACGAAGGTTACTGGCAAACAAAAGGCGCGCAAACAGCCCAGGGCCACATTACGTTCGGTGCCTGCTTTGCTACTCTTACCTTCCTGCAAGCGCAGGCAGCGCGTGGCAGCAGGCAGCGCGTGGCAGCGGCAGGCAGCCTGCAGGGTCAGCACCATCTCGTCCCACCTTCCCCGGCTCCATCCTCCCCCAGTGGCACTGGGAAGGGGACAGGAGGGCTGGGAAGGTTCAGATCCCTCTGTCCACTTTTAGGGGCAGAGATCCTGCCCTTGGGTCACCGGGACAGTGCGGGCAGAGCCCAAGCCAGGTGTCAAGCCGCTCGGACACAGGGACTTCGGGGCTGCCAGGTGACTTCGGGGCAGTCCCATTCGTCCCCAAAGACAGGAGGGCAGCTGGGGCAGAGGCAGGACCCAAAGGGCCCCTTTTCAGCCCAAGGTGCCCAACTCCTCCTGCCCTGGGGAGCCCCCGGCCACCAGCCCTCAGTGCCATGGGACCTGGGTGCGATCCCTGTTGGGGCTCAGCACCCAACTCACCCTGCTGCATGCGTGACATCCGCATCCACAGTGGCTTTCCCCACTGGCATCCCCCGCCGCGGGAGGGGAGTGCGGCCAGCCATCACCACGGCCCCTCTTGCAGAGCATCCCATTCCTACGGGATCCAGCTCTGTGCCAAAATCCTGCCTGCTCTCCCAGCAACCAGGGGCTGGGCAGGGTGGGGAGCATGGCAGGCACCCAGAAGGGATGATGAGCTGAGAGGGGACGAGTTGGGGACACGGAGTAAGGGGAGGAGTGGATGGCAGGACGGTGCAGTGGAAAGTTCTCCTGGTGTCCGAAAAGCTGGGCTGGAAAGGGCTCACATTGCCCGGGGTGTGCTAAAGGGGAACAGCGACAAGTTGTGGGAAGGGATCAGACTTATGCTGGCTATGGAAGACAGACACCAAGAAACCGCCTGGAATGCAGAAGGAGGCCACGGGAGCGATGTGAAGACCCTGACAGCGGGGGACTTAAGGAGGCGGGTCATCTGGCTGATAGAGAAACAAAAGTGGTCAGAGGAGAGCACAGACACCCAATTTCCATGGGAGACAGTGGCAAAACCGGCAGCTGAGGCCAGATACATTTGGCGCAGGAACCAGGAACAGAAAGTTCTGGCTGCCCCCAGCCAGCAGACGCTGTGCTGCCCGTTCACCCCCATCACCAACAGCCTGTGTGGGTTTCCTGGCAGGGTGGCCTTGGTGGCACGACCCACAGACATGGGATGGCCACGGCCTGTCCCCACGGTGCTGCCACAGCTCTCGGGGGAAGTGCTGGGGTGCGGGGCTTCCCCATCCCACAGCACTAGATGGTGCTGCAATACAGCAATATTGCTCTGGACTGCACAGTGCCAGTGGCTGAGCAGGGAGGACGCTGGCTTGGGTCACTGTGTTGGACGGGGACCTTGGGAGAGCCACCGAGGGCCAGCTTGGGCCAGCCAGCTCCGCGCCAGGTAGGCCGGTGGGCCACCCAGGACAAGGTGGGCCACCCAGGACGGGACGCGCCACCCGCTCTGCCCCAGGAGAGAAGCAGCCCTTGCGCTGGGCTGGACGTTCCGAGCCCCGTGCCAGCCCAGAGTTCCTGGGGATACCGATGGGCACACGGTTAGGACCAGGTCTGCTCCCAACCCGGGGCGAGGTGTCCCATCACCTCCCGCAGGCACCAACACCTCCGTGCCTCACGCCTGCCTTCATCCCTACCCCTGCCGAGCTGGGGGATGCAGGAGAAGCCTCGAGAGCCCAAGGCCATGGCTAACAGCCCGGTGGGGCTCCCCACAGCCAAACACAGCCCCTAACCCTCACTGGGGACCAGCCTGCTCTGTGCGGTG